TATAGGAAGCCATCCGAGCGAAGAGACATCGTAGTTTGAGTTCTGAAGGTAAAAGAAAACAGCCATGGACGCTCCCGATAGGGCTGTCAGGATGATACCCATGGAAAGCATCGGTTTGCGTCGAAGGCTGTGCATCAGGACAACGGAGACGCAATTACACGCAAGGCGAACCGATCCGACCATCACCGAACTCAAGTTGGGATCCAAACCCACTCCCGCGAACTGGAAAATGTGGACGATGTAAATGGCAACGACTGCGTTGCCATTAATCTCCTTCGTGAAGATCACCAAGGCCGCTGCAAATATGGCCAAAAGGTTTGGCTTCTGGAAAACTTCCCGGAATGAATTCTTGAAAGACGTTTCAGCGACAGGTTTGTTATTCACGGCCTCCAGGTCCTCCGAGAGCTCTGAGGCGCTCCTGAGCTTCGTCAGCGCCTCCCGAGCCGCCTCCTCCTTACCCTTTCTCCCCAGCCACATCGGGGACTCCGGCGTTAACAGGAGGCCGCAGAAAGCGGGGATTGCAGTGACGGACGGGACGAGCAGCGCCACCGCCTCCCAGGAAAGGACACAACCGGAGGCATAGCACAGGAGCATTCCCAGCGACGACCAACCGTCAAGAAGGCCTGTCAAGGTACCGCGAAGTCGGTTTCCGGTGACTTCGTATGTGTATATATAGGCGACTGGATTTATCAGGGCTCCCACGAGTCCCTGGAAGGAGTAAGATATAAAGTCTGTGACTGTTATTGTCATTATGCGTGTATGTGAATAATTTAGGGTTTATATGCATATATATGTATATATATATGTATATGTATATATATATGTATGTATGCATTATATATATGCATATAGATAGATAATCAGATAGTCAGATAGATAGAGATGTATATATGTACACACACACTATTTACCAAGTGCTAAACCACAGCGAAAAAGGCCTAAAAGAAGCAAGACGAGACCAACCTGGACGGCCCGACAGCACAGCAGGAAGACCTCCGGCTGGCCCGTCCGGAGTACCACCTCGCACGACGCCAGGCTCATAAGCGCGAACGAGGCCCACATTAGAGGTGCCAGCAGGAGCAGGAGCTTCCTGGGACCCAGCCTCTCACACAGCACCCCGCCAAGCAGGCCCCCGGGGACGTACATCAGCAACTGTACCGTGGCTGTGAGATCGGTATGTCTTATAAGAAAGGCAATAGCGGTGATAAGTAACGATGATTTAGGAGCACGGTGTCGGTGCAAGATTGGGTGATATAGAACGAGAATGATTAGACTGATATCACATGTTTTACATTTGATATCCATAACAATTTCAATAGGCTCTTCGAATAAAAGTACCATCTATACCGAACTGTCTACTTTTATACCTTCAGGCAAACAGGTAGTTACTTAGGCAGCACAGCATATAAACCGAAAAACAACTACTCACCAAACCAACTCTCTTGATTCGGAGTAAATTTAACAGGGGAGTCCGGGAGAGACATTCTGGGAAGGGAGACGGAAGGGTAGCCCCAAGTGGAGAGGCTGCATGATATCATGAGGCCTATGGACACCGATGCACTCACCTGCGGAGAGGAGAGGAGTTGAAGGGTTGGTTTGAATGAAACAGGTCTAGTGCACGGGGGAGGGACGGATAGCAACTATGTTGGTGATAAGCACTATAAGATGTAACGAAAATCGTATCCTTAGCAATGATTATGGTTCTACATCAACTACCTCTGCTACGGGTTATGTTAAAAAGAACAAAAATAA